TTTTTTTTTGCATGACAGATCTACTTTAAAAATTCTTTCACATTCTTCCAGGAATGTTCTGTGCAGAACAGCTCAGATAATTCTTGCAGAGCCTGTAATAAAAACTGATTATTTGCATATTTTGAATTATGTCAGGCTGGGGGTTCCTTTACCAAAATCTTCTTTTGGCCAGGCAGGGAACAAGATTTTATTTCATACAACAATTTCAAGTCAGGGAAGCTTGTACTTCCCCCATTTTAGCAATAAATGCATCCTGTCTATCCTTGCTGTGGACTGAGACATCACAGTCCCTAAACTCTAAAAACCATGTTTACAACTAAGGGGTTTTTTTTTTGTTTGTTTGTTGTTTTAGGGATTGTTTTTGTTGTTGTCTAGGAGTTTTTTGGTTGTTGCTGCTGCTTTTCTCAAATTCAAGGCATCAAACTTTGATTAGCATAGAATTTAGATTAAAATAATTCACTATAGATGAAAAAGAGTACATAAAGTGGAAGTCCTGTAGTCTGACAGCTTTATAGTAGGTTTTAAACTAGATTTAAGGACAGAAGAAAGCACACAAGAGAGAATAGACAGAATAGGACACTAAAGGAAGATTTTGTAAAAATAACATTCCAGCAATGTTGTTAAAATTATTTTTTCAACATAGAATATTTAGCATTTCTCAGTTTGGGTTTGTGTAACTTATGAGAAACCATCATCTATACCAGAGGAAATATCCTAAGAACTGTGAGGCAGGAAAAAGAACAGCAGCATCTAGGGAGAGATTGGACCAGCAGACAGCAGCTATTCATGGGGCTCAGGAACCCTGTTTGGGATTGACCAGCCTTGGCAGCTTTTTTCATTTTACCATGTTAGCACAAGAGGCAGGACTGCACCAAGTAAATCTGGTAGAAACAACAAGTTTGGAATCAGAGACACCACGGCAGGTGACTGCACAATTAAGCAGTGAAACTTTGAAAGCCTGAGGGAAAATAGAAGGAAAACCTGTCAGAAAAGACAAAATCAAGGTCACTATAATAATTTTCACTGTGGCTTAGGACAAAGCAAATTCTGTAGTGGGTCTATAGAAAGGAGCAGACAGTGCATTTGAAATGCAAACAAAAGAAAATCTACTGCTCTGTGAGAGTTCTCAGGCTGAATTCACCTCTACTTTCTACAACCTCTGGACAATTTTCTTGCTATAAGTGTCTATTCACCAGAGCAGAATTGCACTGTATTCTTTAAAAACACTGGGGAGGATGGTAAACTCCAGGGCAGGAAAACACATATTTAGAGAAAGGAATAACACTAATGAAAGAACAAATTCACTTTAGGCAAATTTAGGATGAAAAGTAGAACACTTCTAGGTTGGAGGGCAACAGATTGCCCCTTGTAATCGCTTGCTTTTTGAACAACCAGTGTATTATGGGAGATAAAAACATCCATGTGGATTGATTCTTTGCATGGGTCATGGGTTTCAGGAGGTTCCTTTCCATCCTTCATCAACACAAGCAAGTTGTGCTCACTCCTACAGGAAAATATCTTCACTATCACCTTTTCCAGCAGTATTCCTGTTGATAATAGGTAGATAGAATTCAAAAGAGAAAATTAAAATTTATATACCTGTACATCCCCACAGATAGACACAGCTCACACTCAGTCTTATTATGTTTGCATTTTTTTGCCATTTTTCAATGGGGAGATGTTTCACTAGTGCCTGTGAAGATCTACTAGAACAGCACTTAAGTATTTGCCAGACAAATTTCTCCTGTTGCTGGTCTCAGCACCTGCTCAGAGCAACTGATTTACAAAGCAGGGAGAAAGGCAGGGTCAGCACAGTCACTCTGTAAAATCATTTCAGTCACAAGGCACTTCAGTCAGTACAATCACTGATTCTTCTTTCTCTAATCTGCCTTCCTACAAAATCACTGCTGAGACTTGATACAAGCAGCCCTGGTTCCCCCATGTCCCCAGCTCCTTAATATTTTCTTTCTCAGACAAGCCCATGCAGGAATTAATAACCAGGAAAAGCTGATTGTTTTTTATGTTGGGTTTTAGTGCACAGTTATGAGGGATTTTTCTTTTTTTTGTTTTGTTTTGTTTTGTTTTGTTTTTGTTTCAGTGTGTGTGTGCTGTTGTTGCAGGAGGGGGTTAGTATTTTTTTAATTTCTAAGTAAGCACAGGAAACATAGGTTGAACCTTAGGATGACTAAAGAGGTAT